AATGGGGTCGAGAGGGACGAGTCTTGCACCTGCTAAAGAAAAGGCCAGTCACCGCCAACGCAGTTTATTTTGCAACTCTTTTTATAGTATGCAAGAAGGAAGAAACATTGAATACCAGAAAGATTACATAGATTTCTTTACGATTACACTCATGTTTACCTCAAGGAATGACAGTTACAATCATCAGTCTAAGAAGTCCTGTTTTTACCCTTATCTTATTTTTCTTGGGCAAAGAACAAAACACAGAAACTCCTTCCGGGAAAGCATCTGTTAATCCTTTATCTTAAGAACGTAGGGGTGGCGGGACAGGGAATCCTCCCAGAGCTGTCTTGTAAACAGAGCTATTAACTCCCAGATACCAGACCTTCAATCCATGAGGCAGCTCCCCGCAGGGGCTGTGTCTTGTAAATCAGGACTGTTAACTCCTGTCTACCAGACTCTCACTTCATGAGGCAGCTCCCCGCAGACTTGTCTCTTTGTTATTTTAAAAGAGAGGCATAAATAAGAAAACTGTGTATCTTCCCAACTGAAATTTCAGTAATGAAACAGTTTTTAAAGTCTTCACCGCATATGTTCTGCCTATAACTGTCTTTTCAACAAAACATCATATTTATTAAATGTTAATTGACTCAGTTAATTAAATCCCTGTTGAAACATTCTAGGAAAGAACATGAAATGCAGTATGTAAAAAAACCACACCTGCAGTGACTAGCTCAGCTGATTTGATGGCAGTGCATTCAGCCAGCACCATCCCGTGGCCCTGAGCTCCTCATGCTGGTAAGACAGCACGCTGCCACCTCAGATGGAGAGATACTGTGAAAACATTTTTTTAATTCTACCGTACTGACAAACATAACTGACAAATCCCAGGCTCCTTTGAGGCGGTCATTTTCTGTTTCTGGCCAACACCCGTCAATGAGCAGAACCACCCCATTCCCGAGCCATGGGACTCACGTGGGAAGCAGTTTTGTTGAAATTTCCAGGTATAGAATGTAACCAACTATACATAGATCTCGGACAAAAGAAAAGATGCAATACTCTGACTTTGGAAGACACTCAAAATATTCTCCTAAGCCTTAGTAGCTGGAAACGCTGGGCTTCTCCCCAGCCACTTATTTATTTCACAGCCAGTGAGCATCTCCCACAAACCCTGTTTCCCTGTGTCTGCTGGGAGCCTCAGGCACACACTTGCTGTCGATCTTACAAGTCACAGGGCAGAGGCGTGTCTCTCACGCCTGCAACCCTCACACAGGCTCCCTTCCTAGCCTCACTGTCTGAATTTGGCCCCATTTTCTCACCTGTTTATTTGGTATCTGTTCTTCTGTAAGCCGCCTCAAATGCTTTTTGGAAAAAGTCTGAAGAATGAGTGGGTAGATAAATGGACAGATTAACAGGTGAGAGATGGACAGACAGACAGACTGCAAGAAAAGGGGAACAAAGAAAATTTTCTATGCAAAACCCTCTTCTAGTCAGGGAAGGAAACCACCACGGAGAAGTGTGAAGAGGCAGGTAGCTTAGGGCTATTTCCTGGATTCCATGAAATGTCACACCAAGAGATGAGAGGGTAGAACTTTAAATAGTAAAAGAAAAAAAGCATGCATGCTTAAAAACATATCTACAATATGTACTTTCTAAAGAATAGATTCAAATCAGCAGGGCCCAATAACACAATCCTTGGGTATTTACAGACGTGAGAATCCCATCTCCAAACCACAAGGCAT